TTTATCATTTAAAACTGACATGACCATGATTCCTCTTACTGACTTTTCATCAAGTGGTCATGAAGTGTCAGGCACGAGACGTTGTACTTTTCCATGTAATGAAGTATTGTAATTTGCCTCGGCAAGATCCTTCAGTGCCTTTTTCATGGCTGACTTACAAAGCAGTAAAAGCCCCAACTTTAAAAGAATTCACTTGGGGCCTGGCTTGGTAGCCTAATGGCCAAATCCTTGCCTGCGTTATCCAGGATCACATATGAACATTGGTTTGTGTCCTGTCTGCTCCACCTCCCATCCAGCTCCCTGCTTGTAGCCTGAGAATTCAGTAGAGGACTGCCCACACCCTTGGCACCCTGCACCTGTGTGGGAGACCAGGGGGAAGCTCCTGGCTTCAGATCAGCTCAGCTCTGGCTATTGTGGCCACATGGGGAGTGAAACAGCAGATGGAAGATCTTTCTCTGTGTATCTCCTTTTCTCTGTTTTTCTGCCTTTCCAGTAAAAGAAAAAAATAAAAAAATAAAATCTTTAAAATTCACTTGGGCCAGGGTGGTAGCATAACTGACTGACCAGTCCTTACCCTGAGGCACCAGCATTCTGTATGGGTATTAGTTTGGGTCCCGGCTGCTCCATTTCCAATCCAACTCCCTGCTTATGTGCCTCAGGAAACAGCAGAGAATGACCGAAGTGTTCGCATCCCTGCCACGCATGGAGTTCTAGGCTCCTGGCCTTGACTATGTCTAATTGTGATTTTTGTGGTCATTTGGAGAATGAACCTGCAGATACAAGACCTTTTCTTGGGCCCGGCGCGGTGGCGCAAGTGGTTAAAGGTCCTCGCCTTGCACGCCCGGGATCCCATATGGGCGCCAGTTCTAATCCCGGCAGCCCCGCTTCCCTTCCAGCTCCCTGCCTGTGGCCTGGGAAAGCAGTCCAGGACGGCCCAAAAAGCTTTGGGAACCAGCACCCACGTGGGAGACCCGGAAGAGGCTCCTGGCTTCGGATCGGCATAGTATCGGCCCGTTGCGCTCACTTGGGGAGTGAATCATCGGACGGAAGATCTTCCTCTCTGTCTCTCCTCTCTGTATATCCGCCTTTCCAATGAAAAAATAATAAAAATAAATCTTTAAAAAAAAATAAAGCTTAAAAATTACAATATTTTGGGTGCGGCGTAATAACATAGCAGTTAAAGTTCTCGCATTGAACACCCCGGGATCCCATATGGGCGCTGGTTCTAATCCAGGTAGCTCCAGTTCCCATTCAGCTCCCTGCCTGTGGCCTGGGAATGCAGTCGAGGACAGCCCAAGACTTTGGGACTCTGAACCCAAGTGGGAGACCCAGAGGAGGCTCCTGTCTTCGGATTGGCTCAGCTCCAGCCATTGAGCTCACTTGGGGGATGGACCATTGGACAGAAGATCTTCCTCTATGTCTTTGCTTTTCTCTATATATTTGACTTTTCAATAAAAACAAATAAAGCTTAAAAATTACAATATTTTATTTCTTTTCCTTTTTCCCCCCTTTGGCCATTTTCAGCAGCTTTCCAAGACCATTAGCAATAGCCTGGATTAGTAGTGGGGCAGTTAAGCTCAAGTTGGCACTCATGTAGATGCCTGTGTTGCAGGAGGACATTGAACTTGATATGCCAAAACACTAGTGCCAATTATTTTTGCTTTAAGAAGAGTTAATTTGTTTCCTTTCTCCCATAAGTGAGATAAACCTTGGCTATTTTGCACTTTCTTAGTTTCTTTAGACCTATACATTGTATATTTCCCACTTCCACTCCCTTCTTCTCTAAAAAGATTTATTTATTTGAAAAGTAGAGTGACAAGCAAGAAAAGAGATTATCTTGCCATCTGCTGATTCAGTCCCCAGATGGCTGTGGGAGTGAAGGGGGCAGGGGCCAGCTAAAATTGGGACCCAGGGGCTCCATCTGGATTTCCTACATGGGTGGCAGAGAGCTTGAACACTTGGAGCATCTTTCATTGTGTTTCCAGGCACAGTATCAGGGAGTTAGGAGGAAAGCAGAGCAGCCAAGTTTTGAACTTGTAATTCCATATGGGATGCTGGTATCACAGGTGGTGGCCTAACCCGTTGTATTACACTACTGCGCTCTTCCTTGCTTTGAGCCGGTGATTCATTTTGAAATACCAGAATAACATTACACTTTTTTTTTTTAATTTCAGAAGAAAATATTAAATTCTAAAATAGTATATTTTGAATATGATTTTTAAATTAAAAAAAAATTTTAATACTGTTTTTTCTTCCCAGGCCTTCAAATATGCTGGATCATAGTACTGTGTTTTGGAAACTGCTGCTTCATGCATATGCCTTCTAGTACTCTCTGTGCTAGTGATTCTCTCACCTGGATCCTCATCCCTGAATATACTGTAGCGCTCTGTACTTGTACTCCTACTGCCTGCTGAACTGCTTAGCTAGGTCCTTGCTCACTGTTTGGCCTACGTACATGCTGTTTGTTCTATGCAGATTTCCAGTGTGCCATTTATTTGCCTTGGCCAATCATTAAGTTATGAGCTTGATGTGGCAGGAAGTAGGGGGTCTTTAGAATCCAGGCTTTAGAATGCTTGTCACACTTAAGCTGCTTGTGGAGATGTTGAATTAAATTGAATGTAGGAAGAATTTATAGCAAAATAGAAGTTTTCTGTTACTGCCTGATTTTATCCATTCTGCACTGGTTAGTATTATCTCCAGTTTGAACAAAAAGCATTTCAAAACCTACTCCTGGGTTTGGGGGATATACCCTCTGGATGCTGTAGCTCACTCCTGTGTATTGAATGAGTTAATATGCAGTGATAGGCTGCAGCAGCCACAAGTCCCTTGTTAGGAACTACAGTAAGCTAGAATTGTACAGTCCGGTAGGATTTATTTGGTTGAACCATCAGTACCTGAAATATGTTATGCAAATCAACAGAAGCGTGGGACTTGAAAGAAATTAAAACAAGAATCTCAAAAATAAAATATACCCAATGGATTTTTTTTTAAAGCAACTACTAAAGGAAGTGGATTTTTAAATCTTGAGCTGCAGCTGGTACACATGAGTGATGTGAAATCTGATGGACATGTGTTAACAAGCTGGTTATTGTAGGGTCTGCATCTGAGTGTTTTTACAGCTGTATTGAGAACTTCTTAGCCATTTTTGTTTTGGATGTTACTGGGTCCTTTGGTTTTGTTAGATCCTAATAAGGAAACACAGCTATATCCCCAATGGCAAAAGTGTGTGTGTGTGTGATGTCCCTGTTGACAGAATAGGAATTTTTCTATTACAAGTGTGAATTTGTAGTTGACAACTGTATTTAGTGAAAGTTAAGGCCATTCAGTAAACACCGACCACCTTCAAGCATAACTTCAGTCACAAAAGAAAACTGTCACGTTGTTCCCTACAGTTGTCCCATTGTTAAAGAGTGAATAGATGGCTCATTGACTCACCAGTGTGTTCCACATATTATGGTATGAAGATCCTCACATTTTGAAGCCTGAAGATTATGTGTTGATACTGCAGGAAAACAAAGCTACCTTTAAACCTTTTTCTAGAGAACTATTAGAGAATTCTTCCTCTGACAGGAAGTTGCTTTGGGCAGGAGAATCCATGGAGATTGGCAGAAAATGTCCATGTACTTTTTTCTGTTCGCTGAATAGACCTTGTCAGTAATGGGCAGACTTTAGACAGTGAATGAATGAATGTGTGTGTAACATAGGACATAGCCCTGTATCTGTGAACTGGAGCACAGAGATGTTTAAAAGATTGGCCTAAAGCAAGAATATAAGAAGGAACCTCAGAAACTTCTTTTAAAGTAAATTACTCCTTTAAAAAAGCAGAAGGGGAATTAAATTTTCTCACTGAAGAGAAGTGGAAATATTTCTGTTAAGATGTACGTCCTTTGAAGCTATTCTTCCTATTTTTATTTTATTAAATCCATCGGAAAGAACATTTGTATACCTTTCTGTCCACTTATCTGTATAATCCATGCTTTTAGCTATAAAACTTTATAGTTAAGATTAATATAAGGACTTTGTGGGGTTTTTAAAAATACTTACTTATTATTTATGTATTTATTTGAAAGGTACACTTAGAGAAGGAGATGGAGAGAAAGGTGTCTTCTATTCACTGGTTCATTCCCTAAATGCCACACTGGCAGAGCCGGTCTTATCTGAGTCAGGCATCAGGAGCTTCTGGGTCTCCCACATGGGTGCAGGGGCCCAAGCACTTGGGTGGTCATCTGCTTTTCCAGACACGTTATCAGGAAGTTGTATTGGAAATGGAGCAGCCAGGATTTGAACCAGGGTCCATATGGGATGCTGGCACTGCAGGCAGTAGCTTCTTTTGCTGGCTTTGTGCCTAAATGGCCTCTACAGGCTTGAGTCAGCTGATCACTGTCCAAGGCACAGAAATTCTCGTATTATATGAAATTCCTTGATGTCAGGCGTCCTGGAACAAGGTCTCTCCAGTCTTGAGTGTGAATACTATATGCTTCAGGAATGGGGATGGGAGTGTGTAAGAAATGAGGAAATCAGTGAAAAAGGAGCATGAGGAAAAGCATTTGTTTCCTTTTGAAGAATGTTCACTGTAGTTAAGAAAACTTGAGACTTGTAGGTTAGGATCTGTTAGGAAGTGAATTGCTTGGTGTTGTGTTAGAGACCAATATTCAGTAGACTATGATTCTGCTCTCTTCATTGCCCATAGCAGGGGCAAAGTGGGAAACAAGAGGACTGCCATCACAGTCTGAGCCTCCTTAAACACAGATGAGTATTGTGCCTTCAGCGTGGGTTTTTGTTCTAAGATATACTCTTTGTCCTTAGCAAGTAGAGATGTGAAGATTTGTGGTTTCAAATACAGGGCATTTATGCAGTTGTAGACCATTTTATCTGTAGTTAATACTTAAAGACTTCCTGTAGCTAACCTGAAGATCAGTTGTGGGTGGTACTTATGCCTTGGTATCCTTCACAAGCTCATCTTTCCTCCCTTAGTCCTAAGTCTTGGTTTCTTGTTACAGAGAGGTGTGGGAAATGGAACTGGATAGACTCAAGAATCAAGACGGTGAAATAAATCGGAATATTATGGAAGAGACAGAACGGGCCTGGAAGGCAGAGGTAAGAACCAATGTCTTTTTTCTTTTTCTCTTTCTCTTTCTCTTTCTCTTTCTCTTTCTCTTTCTCTTTCTTTCTTTGTTGTTGTTTTTTTTTTTTTTAACAATCTTACTTAGTTGATTAGGATATAAAGGGTCATGGGCTATAGGAAAGTGGGTAATACCATTGCTTCCACACTAATATCATTTTTTCTCCTGTTTCTGGGGTCAGGGGAGAAACAAAGGGAGAAGCCCCACTCAGCCTCCCACCCATCCCAGGTCCCTGAAGTGGGCCATGCTCCAAGGGTCCTGCTCAAGCAGTTTTGATAGTTCAACAGTTCTGAATTGCTGCCAGTCTCGCAGTTCCAATTGTGATGAAATCTATTCAGAATCCACTGGCTGACAAGAGCCACTGTCCTGAAAGCTTTGCTCTTGGGTTTTCATTGGGTTTATTATGTTTTGGGTATAATTAAAAAATAAGGAAAAGCCAGGGAGTGTTTGTTTTTAACTTTTACAGATGATTTTGTATATGTGAAATTACTTAATAAAGTTGTGTGTATGTGTGGTTTCCTCAGATTTTGTCACTAGAGAGCCGAAAGGAGTTGCTGGTATTGAAGCTAGAAGAAGCAGAAAAGGAGGCAGAACTGCATCTTACTTACCTCAAGTAAGTACCCTTCCCTCGTGTTTTTTTTTAAGATTCATTATTTTTATTTACTTAAAAGATAGAGTAACAGAGAGAGAGATAGAATGATCTTCCATCTAGTTCACTCCCCAAATGACCATAACAGCTTGGTTTGGGTCAGGCCAAAAGTGGGAGTCAGAAATGTCATCTTAGTCTCCCTCTTGGGTGGCAGGAGCCCAAGCACTTGGGTCATCTTCCATTGCCTTCCTCATGAATCAGCAGGAAGCTGCACCAAAAGCTGTTATCAAACTGGCATTCCGATGGGGGATGCAAGCAGCAGCTTAACCTACTGGCCCACATAGCCTGCCGTGTACTGCATTATTTTTAATATTTTTCTTTCAGACTTGCTCCTGTTCCAGACTTTGTTACTCAACCAGAAATTTATTAGGATTTGGTTTCATTCATTTCCAAGCCTCTTTTCTCAGCCCATCGGCAGGTCCTGCCCTCTAAGATGGTGTTCAAATTCTGACTGCTTCTGACCAGCTCCCACTTTGAACACTTCTTCCACACTCAAGGCTACTAGTATCTCATCTGGATTACTGCGTTAGCTTCCTAATGGCTCCCCCTGCTTCCATTCTAAGCATCTTGCTGAATGACGGCAGCATTGAGCCATCCTGTCACTTTTCCATTCTAAGATCTTAGTGGTCATGAAGTTTACTTGTTTATCTCTTTAGGTTTTTGAACCCTTAGGCCAGCCAATCTGATACTCATTCTCTCTTCAGGAACTTTAAGGCTCTCTCTGTGCAGTAGTATTTGCCCCGTGATTTCTCTGCCAATTTCAGAAATTTCCTCATTCTCTAATTCTTCCTTTCTGCAGTTTAATAGTTTTGCACATTTATGGTATTATTTCCATATAGATAGGCAACATGTTAAGCTGTTAAAGCATATTTATGGTCATGGAGGTTTGTTTCTTGGGTAATCACTTCTCTTCTTTCTAAGATGGAGTTTGGAAGACTCATTGCGGCATTTCCAGGCAGACCAGAACCCTCTCTCTGTGGTTGGTCCTCATTCTAGAATAATTGCTTTAAGAGATGGTACGGTTAAAGGGAGGCAGATGGCTTGGATTGTTGGGCTGCTTCTGTATCCTCTCCTGCCTCTTTTTCAGACTCATTAGCTAACTACAGCTTGCTATCAGAGAAATCAAAATTGGCTTTCTTTAATTTGTAAACCTGCTGTTGATTTCTTGAAAGGTCAACCCCCCCAACACTGGAGACAGTCCGTTCCAAACAGGAGTGGGAGACGAGACTGAATGGAGTTCGGATAATGAAAAAAAATGTTCGGGTAAGTGTAGTAATGCGTGACCATTTGGTCAGCATTAGTTTCTGCTTAAACCTCCTGGTGATAGAGAGATAGTAGCCTTTTACATTGCCTTTGAACTGGTCCTACCTGCTTTTCTTTTCCTTAATAATGGGTTGTATTCTCTCTAAATTGGCTCACTAGCCCAGCAGTAGAGAATAATCCTTTCTTTTCTTCCCATTTCCCTCAGGACCAGTTTAATAGCCACATCCAGCTAGTGAGGAATGGGGCCAAACTGAGCAGCCTTCCTCAAATCCCTACTCCCACTTTGCCTCCACCCCCATCAGAGGTAAGAGAGCTGGCTTTAGGAACTCCACTGTTCTTTGGTTGTAGTGGAGACAGATCTTCTGCTTGTTCTTTTTATGAAGGTGATAGAACAATACAAAAATTACTCATTGATTTCTGCTTCAGTTTCCTGAACTTACTTCTTTGAAAGCCGGGGAGATAGTTATATAGGCAGAAATCTCCCATTTGCTTGTTCATTACCCAAATGCCTGCAAGAGCCTGGGTTTAGGTCAGGCTGAAACCAAAAGCTGGAACTCAATCTGGGTTTATGTGGGTGGCTGGCCAGTGGAGCTATTGCTTGCTGCCTTCCAGGGTGCACAGAAGCAGGAAGCTGGAATTGGGAGCAGAGCTAGAACTCAAACTCAAGCACTCCAGGATGGAGTTTGCACATCCCAGATGGCGTCTTTAGCTCTGTGCCACACCCGCCCCTCCTAAATTTTCATTTTCTCTTGTCCTCTACCTGTTCCTCTCTGCAGACAGACTTCATGCTTCAGGTGTTTCAGCCCAACCCCTCTCTGGCTCCTCGGATGCCCTTCTCCATTGGGCAGGTCACAATGCCCATGGTTATGCCCAGTGCAGATCCCCGTTCCTTATCTTTCCCAATCCTGAACCCTGCCCTTTCCCAACCCAACCAACCTTCCCCACCCCTTCCTGGCTCCCATGGGAGAAATAGCCCTGGCTTGGGTTCCCTTGTCAGCCCCCACAGTCCACACATGCCCCCTGCTGCCTCCATCCCGCCTCCCCCAGGCTTGGGCGGTGTTAAGACTTCCACTGAATCTCCCCGGCCCCAACCAGTAGACAAACTGGAGAAGATCCTGGAAAAGCTGCTGACTCGGTTTCCACAATGCAATAAGTAAGTATCTTTAAAGATGAATTAAAGTATCATTGTCAGAGAAATGTGTCTGGATTAGAGTAGAGGAGGTTTCACGGGTACAACATAGGATCTCCCTCACTATGTTTTTCCTTAGGGCCCAGATGACCAATATTCTGCAGCAAATCAAGACAGCACGTACCACCATGGCAGGCCTGACCATGGAGGAGCTGATCCAGTTGGTAGCTGCACGGCTGGCTGAACATGAGCGAGTGGCAGCAAGTACTCAGGTAAGATAAGTTGCCTGGGGAAGAACTTAGGCCTGTTGAGAAGATGAGGGACAGGCATGTTTCAGAAAAACTTGGAGTGGGAAGAAGCATTGCAGCAGGGTTACCTATTATCTAGTTGCTTTCTTCCTTTGTTGGACTGGGAAGTAAATTATTTCATTTTGTTATATGCTCTGTTACCCAGACTCTTCCTTTACTCTGACAATGTTTCTACCCACAGTCACTTGGTCGGATTCGAGCCTTGTACCCTGCTCCACTGGCCCAAATCAGTACCCCAATGTTCTTGCCTTCTGCCCAAGTTTCATATCCGGGAAGGTCTTCACATGTAAGACTCTTTTTCTTGGAACACTGAAGTTTGTAGAAGCTGGGGTAAGGGGACGGGATTATAGGTGCAGTGCAGGAAGAAAACGTTATGTTGTCAGCTTGCTTATTTTCAATTCTATGACAACATGTAGGTACTTTAGCAAAAAATTTTTTCTGCCCTTGGGGCCTGTTCTGACAAGAGTCCATGGAATTAAGGGTGTGAAAATCAGGAAGGCCTGGCAGTTCCTTACTTTGTGATCCTGCCTCTGTTCTGCAGGCACCAGCCACCTGTAAGCTGTGTTTGATGTGCCAGAAATTTGTCCAGCCCAATGAGCTGCACCCAATGGCATGCACCCATGTGCTACACAAAGAGGTAGGTGCTACATACATCCTCATTTTCTTCTCCTTTCCAACAGCAGAGATGCTTTTCTTGAATGTTTTACTGTGCTCACAGTCACCATTAATGTCTGCTCATAATATTTTCTGTAAATTGTGGCTTAAACAACACCGGAATTTAGAATAGTACAGCTGAAATTTCCCAGCTCATTTTTACTCCAGTGCCTTCTGGGCATTAGATAAGCAATTACACTAGAGCAATGATAGTTTTTTAGAAAATGGCAATAAAAGGTATGTTGCAACATACCTAATGGTTTTTTTTTTCAAAGATAGTATTGCCCATAGACTTTGTTTAGATGAAAGGAATGGACTTGAGATCCTGAATATGAGATGAGTAACTCCATTAACAGAATACCCGGGGAGGTCTGCCTCTTCAGGATGATCTTTACAGATAAGTCATTCCTTGTCTTACTGTGTTGCCAGGGAGTTATATCAGCAGAATGGAAAACATTTTAATTGTTTTGCTTTGTTCATTATTTTTCTACAAGAGGTAGACTCAGATTTTTCCTAAATTCATGGTTTGAAGAAGTCCTGAATACTTGAGGATGACAGGCATTGGCAGATAGAACACCTCTTAGGCCAACTGGATGATAAAGTGGAAAAAAAAGTCACATCTAGTACTCAAAAGAGAGCAGCTTCATGACTATTCTCAGCTGATTGCAACAATGTGCTTTGTAAAACATGCCTTGCTTTTGGGAGAGCAGCCGTTGAAATATCCCTCCTAGCCTCCCACAGTAAGAACTTTTCTGACTAGACCTTGTTGAGCCTTAGTGGCTCTCTCCTTTCTTCCATTTCCCCCTGATAAACCTGAGGTGTATGTTTCTTTCTTTCCAGTGTATCAAATTCTGGGCCCAGACCAACACAAATGACACTTGTCCCTTTTGTCCAACTCTGAAATGATGGACCTGACTGGGGAGAAAGAAGAGGAGAAATTGATGTGAACAGGAAGCACGGGTTCAAGATTTCTAAAACTCTATATTTATACAGCGACATACTCATGCCATGTACATTTTTATTATATAGGTAATGTGTGTATAGAAAGTCTGTATTCAAATGGTCGTAAATGAAAGTGTGTATATTATGCTGATACAGTCTCCCCTCATCTTGCAGTTCTTTGGGGGATGCAGATTGTAGGGGAGAGATTTAGTTTGGCCTTGAAATTATGATATCCCTACCCAGGGCTGCTTTTACAATATAAAAACCATCTAGGAAGCTGCTTTTGCGCTAAGGCCATCCTGCTTTGGTTTGTGTCAGCCTCCAGTCCATTTTCTTGCAGCTTCTGTCTGCAGATTTGAAGCCTGGTGCTCACCTGCTGTCCAGCCAGATGCCTTGCTTACCAAAGGCCCGCAGAAGCTGCAGTGTTGTTCCAGCCACTCCATTCCCAATAGTTACGAGACTCAGTGAGGGAAGAAAACTATAACCCTAATAGTTTGACTTTTCATTGAATATTTACTGTGTTAATTCTCATTATTTATATGTAGACATTAGGTTTACAGAATAACCTATCAGCAAAATTAACAGTCCAAGAATAAGAACATAACTGGGTCCCATTTCCCTCAGACCCCAAGCAATAAGTTTGTATCCACCCTACCTCCTTGACAGAAATTAAGACAACCCACATGTTTTTCCTGGCCCAAGCCATTTTTTACTGGCAGTGGTTGGGCATCTAATCAACCTCTGATTGACAAGCTTTATGAAGTCTTCATCCATTCCCATTTACCTGTGGTTTCTCAACCTCCTTTCCAACAAAGGTTAAGGCAATTGGTTTACAACCAAGTCATTTGTTGACCTTGGATAGGTTGTGGACAGGCACTGGGGTGAGGAGACGTCTGTGCAAAATTACTTATGGGTTTAATTTTTCAAGCAGGAAAGCTATGGGGGACATGTTTGCTGTCCTAGAGGAAATGGAAATCAAAGTGATAGGAAGAAAGGAGGTTGGATTTCGAGTGTCTGTGTCATTTGTTCTGTGGATAAGTACCTGGACTAGATCATTTTTCCACCCCTGCTTATTGAGCACTCTGTTGAGGTTTTCTCTCAGAAAGCTTGAATCTCCTCTCCTCCTATCCTTTCACCTTTACTCCTATAGGAAATTGCTTCAGCTCCCTTCTCTTTTTGAATTAAGCAAGTAGAAACCAAGCGTTAATAAAAATAACAATAAATAATTGTGTTTAGGGGAGGGACATCATTAGCAGCAACTGAATTTTTCCCATTTGGGGACCTGGAAGTGCTTATTGGTACCAGTAATACTTACCAAGATAGCGATAACTTTACCTTTCAGGTCTAACTAAATTTTCTCTCTGTTATTGTTTTCCTTCTCTATCTTCCGTCTTTGCCTTTCAGTTGCTAGATGAACTCTTTCTTCTCTTACTTGCTCATGTTCCGCATCTCATCAGGTGATAACAATGGCCCGAGTACTCCATTCTTTAGCCATCAGGTGACCTACTTTCTTTGGTTAATGAAATATTACCATCTCTAGTTTGGTAGCTGTCATGAACAGTGGTAGCAAAATACAAGACCAGTTCCTTGGTTCTTTACATTTGTGGGGACTCATTTTTCACTGTTATAGTAAGGTTTCTCTCATCTCAACTTTGTAGTAGCTATGGATCACCTCCAGTATTTTTCAGTGCTTTAGAAAGTGGAAATAAAGAATATTGCTTATTTTCCAAAAAACCTTGAAGTTGAAGGAGTAGAAAGAAAAAATGAGGGGTGAGTAAGGGCTTAACTGCTTCTCAGTTAAAAGCCCCTGAAAGCCCAGCTCTAGCAGGAAGCGAAGTGCTTTGGAGAGTTGTGTGTGGGAGCTTGGGCCTCCTTGTTGTTCTTTGTCTTGTTCAGGATCAGTCAAAAAGCAGTGTTTATGTTTTAGCCACCCTCATTCACCCCTCTTGCTTTGTCCACTAGCCTGCAATGATAAAAGCCGTTAGGATCCAAGGGAAAGGCCCCAGATTCAGTATGTGGAGATGGGACAGGAAAATTAGAAAATATAAATATATAATGTGTTTTTTACAAGCAAGAAGCTATTAGGATTTTGCTCTTGGTACACTTAGAATCCATAGTTTCATGGCAATAGAGTATTAAGTATAAGAAGAAAAATAAGTGCAGATTTTCTCTTAGAAAATAGGACAGTGGGACTTAACTAATGAAAGGGCTGAGTTTTATCATGAAAAGAGCTGGGGAAAAAGCCAGTTCTCCCCAGTAAGATATAAATCAGAATGTCATAATTTCTTTTCACGGTAGCAGTTCTGGACATTTATTTACACAGTAAATTCCAGATGGAAATGGACAGTCTCCAGGTTTCTGTCAGTCTTTGTAGTTACAGGGTGTTTCCCGTCAGTCAAGGCAGCACCAAGTGTGGTGGGAATGAAGAGAATCCAGATAAAAAACTGTGACTCAGTATTCTTGTTTTATTGGTTTATGGCTTGTGGCTGAGGCCTGGAACTGCAAAGGCCCAACTGGTATTTTGCTTTCCCTCACCAGATAATTCCATATTTTACAAGGTCCCATTTGTGGAACCTTGCAGTGAGCATAAAATAGGAGTAGGATGCAGTGGATGCACCAGCAAAATTCAGTTCTTCCCACAAATAGTGGTGTCATAGTCTGCTGTGTTGGAACTGATGGGGAGGAAATGAACTTGGTCTCCACTATATAGCCCAAGAACCAGCCTGGGTACCCACATACTAGTAGGAATGGGGAATAGAGAGCAACACAGAAAAAAGGATGGCTTCATCAAGGAACCCTTTTAGTGAAGGAAATGGGGAATCACTGGGGCTGTCATTCTTTCTCCAGCAGCCTTTATACTGAGAATACAGTAATATGAGAGCCAGAATCCCCTGCATTTCTGACATTCTGGGGATAATACTTGCCAGTATGTGTAGCCATAGTCAAATAAATAAAGGACCCACGAGAGAGGGCAAAAAAGTAATGAAACCACTCTGGATTCCGTAAAGACCTTTTGCCTTCTTAGAACTTAGCAGTGAGAAATCCAGGAAGAGGTGTAGGTTGCCAGCTCTACACCTGTTGGGGAGTCCCTAGGATCTTACATTCAGGGGCCAGGCAGGAGAGAGCTCCCGTCTATTCCTTTAGCACCTTAGCTGCAAAACTCCCAAGGAACTGGGCTTTGAGGAAAGAAGTGAACTGTGACCAGAAAGAGCCCAGCTCTGCTGTGTTCCAGCTTCTCTCCAAGAGGGCACCTGAGTGAGACCTAGGGGGTTGGGATTTTTCAGTGCTACCTGTCATCTGTGAAATGAAGATTCAGGCAGGCAGATGGCATTAGAAGGTAAGAACTGATTTGCTGAGCAGAACTTCTTAATGGGCACTTTCCTCTTAAGAGCGAAAACAACAACAACAACAAAAAAGCTCTTTGGCCAGATAAGCCCTTCTTCCCTTCTTGCTTTTAGTCAGACTGCAATCACAGAAAACACTGGAAAGCAACACCCATCTTACAAGATGGGAGTCTATCTTGGAGATAAGGTCTACAACTGGGACTGGCAAGTGGTGATGGATGCTTCTGTCTTTTCTAGCTGTGATCTCAACTGTTCCTGTGTTTGCACTCCTTGTCCTCTCCTCAGACCACCCTCAAGTATGCACATCTTCAATCTAGTAAATTTTTAATTCGAGAGGCAGTCTTTGCACCAGTGTTAGGCTTATTTATACAGTCCCTATATCTAAAGCAAATTGCAAACTTTGCATTTTGTCCTTCAGGAAAAGAAGCTTGGCTTTTTTTCTGCCAGGGTACCACAGGGATACACACTGGGGTGACCTGGGTGTGAGACCAGTACTTCTGGAACTAAAAAAGGAGAATACTGTGTGTTGTTGGAAAATCTAAAGGGATGGTAGGCAGAGGTTTCAGGGCTGAAGTTTGAAGCAGCAGGATTTTCCAACTAAGCCATGAGGTGACCAAAAGTATTCTCGCCACGAGGATGCTTCTTTCTTCCCTTTCCTGTTTCTTACAGGCGCCGTCCTATAACCCACCTCACCACCTTTCCTTCTTTTCTGTCGGCAGAGGCATTCGGTGGGTAGATGAGGGTCCTGAGGTGCTCCAGCCACAGATGGCATCTGTGTCTCCTACTTGTGACCAAAGTGAACCACCCAGATGTGGTCTAGGGGAATCTTTGTCTTCCGCCCCCTACTGCTCCTCACTTTAGTAGGGAGATGTCATCAGCAAAGTCGTCATGCTGATGGCGCAGGCAGCGGAGGCAGCGCCACTGACACACCATGAGGCAGAGGGGCAGCATGAAGAGAGCGCAGATGGCAGCCATGACGTAGGCTATGGTCATGAGGGTTGATTCGTCTGTCTGTGGAATGTTGTAGCCACAGTCTTCCATGTCCAGGGTGACAAAAGGGCCTTCCACTGCGGCTGTCCTGAACTCGTCGTGCACTGCGGAAGGGATAGTTGTCAATGGGCAACTCTCCTTGTCAGTAGAGCAGTTTGGGTTTTATAGCAATAAAGAAACTTCCTGACCATGCCCCTGTTGATTCCCTCTCCTGGAGATACTGCTTGGCAGCCTGTAAAGCCTGTGCTGTGTGGTGGCAGCCTCTTCCCTCCCCAGATCTCTAGGAGCAGCATCCCTTCCCTGGAGTTCTGAGTTGACCAGAAAGCCAGGCCTGTAAATGTAGTGCACTTACTTGCCACTACAGGAACTTCAAATCCCTGCCACCCTTGTTCAGGAGCATTCACCATAAAGCAGCCAGCAGGGCTTCCCCAGCGTGCCTGGGCAGTTCTTGCTGCTCAGGCTTTCCAACAGGCACTGACCCTAGCGTTTGCATAACGTTGACTTTATCTTGAGGCAACTCTTAGTACCTCCTAAACTGACAGTCCCAGGTTGGCAGGGAGAATATGGGATATACTGACCCAGTACCCTCCTCATCCCTGGCACCTCACCATGACAAGCGCTGACAGCAAAGCCAATTCGTTTTCGGGCTCGATCAAAAACAACATAGAAGCCCTCCATGATGACAGCTCCCATGACAGTCCCGGTTGATGACTGTGAGATGGCAAACTTGTAACAGTCGTCTTGGGATGTGGCCACATCTTCCACTGGCCGCAGGTATTGCTGGGGTGAATGGTGGAAGGGTCAGAGTGTGTCTTCCTCACACCATCCCATACCTCCCGTTCTGCCTTCTAGCTATCTCTGCCCCAGGTAGCGCTTCTCTTTGCCATTCCTGACCTCTCAGGAATTGGGCTGTCAAAGACACTTTTACCACTGGACACTCATCTAGTGTGTTTTCCAGCCCCTGGGAAGTGATGCTTCCTCACTGTCTCCCAGCATGCACTTTGTCCTCTTCTGGCTCCCATGGTCTCAGGCTGAGGGGAACATACCTGTGGAAGGATCGTGATGCGGAAGGACTGATTGGTGACCTCACCCATGAGGTAGAGGGAGATGACTGGGAAAATGTTCCAAGGGGTAGTGCCTGCTTGCCAGCACACAAGCTGCTCCCCTAGCCAGAAACCATCTGGAAACTTCTCCGTCTGTGTTGCCAAGAAGGGGATAGCAACAAGGAATCAGCCTCTTTCACCATCTCACCTCTCCCATCACCACATACCACTGACTGCGCCTCCTGCTTGCTTTCCAGGGCAGTAGCTCAGTGGGGAAAGGTAAACTGTGACCCAAGGGAATTGGAGGAAGAGAGCAGAAGTAGAGGCCAAAACTCTGTAGGAGGTGTGTGTGTGAGGGAGGCTGGGAGGTGGGAATTGTGTGATGACACAGCCCCCTAAAGCAGATCATAGGTAGGAGCCCTAGGGGGAGGAGCTGGCTGCAGACATTCAGCCTCTGGCTGAGCAGTGTTGACTCTCACTGACTTCCTCCAACATAGCACCTTCCCTTGGACCCCGTCGCCAGTCCACTGACCGAGGAGGCTGCCTTGATCGATTTTACTGCAGCTTCAAACACTTTCTTGGGCAGTCGGAGGTTGGTGGTGCCGCTGTCCACAATGCTCTTGTCGTAATTGTACTAAGAGGGAAAAGAAAGCATTAAAAGAATCATGGGTTTCTTGGGGCAGGCTCTGGGCAGAGTGGGAGGTGTGGATCTGACTGCCTGGTGTCCAGGCTGGCTCATGTCCTAGCTCAGCCACTTGGAAAGTATACGTCCGTGGGCAAGTTACTTACTTCCTGTCTCAGTTTCCTCACCTCTTAAGATGATAATACCTACCTCAAAGGGTTATTGGAAGGATTAAATAAATCAACACAATTAACGCACATAGGATTGTGCCCAGAAAATAAGAGGCACTCAGAAGTGAATTCTTAATAATCTTGGGTGGGCAGACACTCTCCAAATATTGAAAATAAAAATACCTTGTGTAGTGCTTTTAAATTCTCATAATACTTTCATATCTTTTAGTTTAACATACATTAGAATGTCGGGAAGGAAGATGCACATGGTTTGTGTATGGTTAAGATTGACACACTTTATACCTCATCTCTGATCTCAGCCATAGTCTTTGGGAAAGTGGCTTTTACTCCTATTTTGCAACTGAGGAAAAGAAAGTATAGAAAGGTAGCTAGCCTAAGGGACACAGCTAGTGCATGGTAGGCTCTGCTCAGATCCAGTCTTCGTGGCTCCAAAGCCACCACCTTCACCATGCTGTGCTGCACATGGCTGGACTGAGGTCAGGAGGCAAGGCAATATGGACATCAGAACCAGTTCTGTGCTTTTCTTTCTTATCTAGATCATATATCCTGTGGTCCCAGTGAAATGGATTTACTTGCCGGAGGCCGCCCATTCCCCCCTGCCCTGGTCCTGTTGTCTAGTTGTTAAGCTCCTACCTGTTCTAGGCTCAGCTCCCAGCCTCCCCATAGCTCCCACATTGCCGCCTCACCCTCCCGACCTCACAGCCCAGGGTCTGCCCTTCCACGGTGTCCCTGTCCCCAACCCCATGGCCCCCCTTGGTTCTCTTACCTCCTTGCAGTCCATTTTCAGATCTTGTCCATTGATCTCTACCCGCACAATGATTACCTCATAATACCATTCCCGCCGGATGGGAGTGTACCAGAGGCTGCCCGTGTACAGCGAGTGGTCAATTCCCCCAATGATCTAGGAGGAAAAAAAGGCAGGGGCCTGTGTCCTGTGTCCCAGCACAGAAGGAGAGCAGTTCCTGGGAAACCTGAGATCTCCACTCTTCCAGCTTTAGTCAAGTCCTGCCCAAGCTTGGCCTACAGCTTTTTCAATATGTTCAGAGGAACACTTGATAAGAGTTTTAATTGAGAATCATACAGCCCTTGATACAAGGTCATTTAAATCCAAACTGGCACATTAAGTGTTGGATGAATGATTATTTGCTGCTGTTATTTTTATTTTCTCTGTCTGTTGGGAGAATCGTTCACCATTATCTTCCTTAATGAATAAATATTGACTTAAACTCTTTATGCTTGTCTTCTGACCTTCAGACTGAATATTTTGAATTTGATAGGTCTTATTTTCATTTCCTTTGGTATATTCCTAACCATTTCCAGTCCTCTTCAAGTTTATCATTGGTACCTCAGATTCTTTCTGGAATAATACAAGGAAGAAGAATGGAGAAAGAAAGGGAGGATGGAGAAGAAAAAGAAGTTTGAATTCTAAATAGCAGTACTAAGACAGTGATGGTGCTTCGAGGGAGAAGGACAGGTGGCACGTTGGTCTCTGCCAAGTGCCAGGACTTCCCCTCCGAGCACCTGCTACTCACCATGCTGCCTCCAACTGAGGCTAGCACCTCGGACTGGTTGAGGGGGAAGCCAGCACCACAGAGCTGCAAGGAGAAGAGGTTGGGAACATGGGTCTGCTTTACCAGCGAGTCGAAGAAGGGCTCCAGGGAGTCATCAGGCTGTGAGACAAAGAGACAGTAAATTAGCACCATGGGGGACAACCCAGCCAGAAGTCAGCTTCCTGTCTACACTGGCAAGCAAGAGCAAGAACTGGGGAGAAGTTACCTGGGAAAGATGCCTATACTGAGATTTGGCAGAAAGAAGGATAACAAGAGACACTGGCAGTGCCATCGGGAAACTGCAGGACCCACAGGACTATAGGCCCTTTGATCCTCGTGTCTAGCTTGTTTCAGATGTAGAGTCCTATCTTCCTTTAAGATTTTTTTTTGGATCTAGTGTGGTAGCCTAGCGGCTAATGTCCTTGGTTTATATCTGCCAGGATCCCACATGGGTGCCGGTTCATATCCTGGCTGCTCTACTTCCCTTCCAGCTCCTTGCTTATAGCCTGAGAAAGCAGTTGAGGATGGTCCAAAGCCTTGGGACCCTGCACCTGTATGGGAGACCCAGAAGAGGCTCCTGGCTCCTGGCTTCAGATCGGCTCAGATCTGGCCGTTGTGGTCACTTGGGGAGTGAGCCAGCAGATGGAAGATCTTTCTGTCTCTCCTCTCTGTAAATCTGACTTTCCAATAAAAATAAATAAATCTTTAAAAAAAGATGTTATTTTTAATTTACTTGACACATCTTCTGTCCACTAGCTTAATTCCCGGATACCTGCAGCAGTAGGCTAGGCTGAAGCCAGGAGCTGGGAACTCAATCAGGGTCTTCCACATGGGTAGCAGGGACCCAACTACCTGGGACTATCATCTGTTGCTGCCTCCCAGGTGCATTAATAGGAATCTGGATCAGAAGTACAGGAGTGGGTCCAGCGTGGTAGCCTAGTGGCTAAAGTCCTCACCTTGCACGAACTGGGATCCCATATGGGTGCTGGTTCTAATGCTGGCCACTCTGCTTCCCATCCAACTCCCTGTTTGTGGCCTGGGAAAGCAGTCTAGGATGGTCCAGGGCCTTAGGACCTTGCACCCATGTGGGAGACCTGGAAGAGCTCCTGGCTCCTGGCTTTGAATCGACGCAGCTTTGGCTAGTGTAGCCACTTGGGAAGTGAATCAACAGATGGAAGATCTTCTCTGTCTCTCCTGCTCTCTGTATATCTGACTTTACAATAACAAATAAATCTTAAAAAAAAAAGTAGAGGAGCCAGGACTTGATCCTAGGTTCTCCATATGGGATATCAGTGTCTTCATTGGTAGCTCAACTTGCTGTGCTACAATGTTCACCGCAAAGGTCCTCATTAAGGATCTTGAGTAGGGCCCAGCACAATGTCTCAATTAGTTAATCTTCCCCCTTCAAACGCTGGGCTACCATATGGGTACTGGTTTGTGTCCTAGCTGTTCCACTTCCCATCCAGCTTTCTGAGTATGACCTAGGAAAACAGGAGGATGGCCCAAAGCCTTGGGACCCTGCACCTTCGTGGGAGACCAGAAGAGGCTCCTGGTTTCAGATCAGCTAAGCTCTGACTGTTGTGGCCACTTGGGAAGTGAACCAGCAGATGGGAGATCTTTGTCTCCTACTCTATAAATCTGACTTTCCAATCAAAATAAATATATTTTAAAAAAACCTTAGAGTATATAAAACCTGAATTCTCTGCCTATCACAACTTCTCTCACTGCAGTTCTGCCCTTTTAGAGCTGAAGTTCAGACTGCGAACCTTCCCTCCCTCAGATAATCCTTTAAATTGATTTGTTTCCCTCCTTGAGTAAACTCCTTCCCTCTGAGGCATGCAGTGAACGCTGTACAGGCATAGTGGGTAGGACCCAGCCTTGTTCTCACCCTGGCGATCTCAGCATAGGCCAGCCCTAGGATGCCCTCCCAGTTGGAGCCGTTGATGAAGAACTTGTCCGATTCCGTAATGGCAGCAATGTTGGCACGCACAGTGACGTTGGGGCCATGAGGGATGCTCACCAGGTCAGTGCCCAACTCCCCTTCCCACTTGCCCTGGGTGTAGGGCACATATACACCCTTGCGGAGGTCCCGGTATGTGCTGGACCTGCAGAAAGGAGGCAGAGATCTGTGGGTGCACAACCCCAACAACTGGTGTGTGATTCGATCATCAGTCCTGCTCCCCAGTACCACCTTATCTCTGGGGAAACCAGCTGCTTTCTGACTGTCCTACAAAAACACCTCCAGACCCTCAGAATGGAGAGCGACCAGTTAGAAGAGGGGAGTTGTGGCCTGGGTTCACTCTTCTGTCTCCATAGCTGATATTCCTAGACTTTGACCTTGCACCCTGTAGAGAACAATCCCAGGCTTTGTGTATTGTGCCCACTGCTGCTGCAGGGAAAAATCACGGGCATCTTTGTCCTCCCCCTCTCCTGCCCTCCCTTCTCCTGCCCACTCCCCCCCAGCTCTGTCAGGCTCCCAGAGAAAGGAAGCCATTGATGTGGACTCTCCTACTGCCCTAGGACCCAGTGGTACCATCTCTGGGTGGTGTAACGCCAGGCAGGGTGATATGAACGTGGAGTCTCCATAGGCAAGTCCTGGAGATGGGGTTTGGGCAGGTGTCCTAGTAGAACATGACACACCAGTCATGGAAATCACACTTGCCCGTGTGCGGCCACTCCACCTTGTGTGCCATGATGGGTAGAGTCCTTGCATGGATCCTGCCCTAACCATCTCCCAGACTTTCTTTCAGATAGAGATGTCACAGAAGTGGTCAAAGAAACCAGGAGATGGGCAAGGTGGGTTCTGCCGCACCTGTGACTCCCAAGTGTGGGAGACGAGCCTCTTCTTGGACAGGAGAATCAGGCTTCACACAGAGATGCTTTGGGCATTAGCTCTGTTGCGGTCACCACTTCCTCTTCCTGCTCTTATGCCCCAAGGAGCATCCAGATCATCCCTGAATGCCTCTTCCTGCACTAACCCCATGTCCACCCCCCCTGCAGGGAAGCTGGTGGCTCCTAGAGGGTACACAGAGATCTTGGTGCTTTCAGGCCCTGAGAGTGGTCCAGTGGGGTTTATGGAAGGCTCTGGGAGTACCCTGAGCTGACTCTGGGTCCCTTGGTTTACCCTCTCCTGTGGCATTGCTGCTCATGTGTTGCCCCCTCACCCCTCCTAGTCACAGTGGCTTCTTTGCCCTTACCCTTTGAACAGGAAGAAAGGCACTGAGGCACTCGTTCTTGCCCCTGAAGCCCTCCTCTGGCTTTTTTGGGGAAAGGCTCCCCAGGCATCCCCTGCCCCCTACCCAGAACTCACAGCTGCCTCTGGTAGTAGCGATGCAGGAAGGGGTGCGGGGCGGCCCCTACTGCGAAGTTGCTGCTGCCTGTGTCCACCAGGATGTTGAGCTGCCAGAGAAAAGTGGAGAACAAAGCCGTAACAGACAGGAGGCCCGAGGCTTCTCACTCGCAGGGAGATCAGTTTCTCTTCATAACACCCAGGGGGAAGCTTCCACAATCACAGACAAAACCTAGGGTCCAGAGGCACCTTCAACTTGACCTCCGACTTTGCGTGTGCTTCCAGTCTGGGGTATCACATTGCCTATGTCACTAGGCACACAGCTGTGTGTGCTCTGTCTCTGTCCCCACCATGGACCTAGCTGCCTCTTGTGTTCCAGCCTGCCACTTCCCTTCTTTGCCTGGTTCTCCCAGGAAGCAACCTGGCACATGCCTCTCCAGCTGGCAGCAGTGAAGGGAGTAGGGGGGATATGATGGCAGCACATCAGTGCCCACAGGTGTGACTGGCCCTGCCCATTGGAATGTGACTCCCTTTTGGAGTTACGTAGACCTGGGAGTCCCTCTGTCAGAAATAAAGGGTAGGGCCCGGCACTGTGGCCTAGCGGCTAAAGTCCTTGCGTTGAACGCGCCAGGATCCCTAATCCCGGCAGCTCCACTTCCCATCCAGCTCCCTGCCTGTGGCCTGGGAAAGCAGTCGAGGACGGCCCAAGGCTTTGGGACCCTGCACTCATGTGGGATACCCAGAGGAGGTTCCTGGTTCCTGGCTTCGGATCGGCGCTGCACTGGCCGTTGCAGTCACTTGGGGAGTGAATCATCGGACAGAAGATCTTCCTCTCTGTCTCTCCTCCTCTCTGTATATCTGACTTTGTAATGAAAATAAATAAATCTTAAAAAAAAAAAAAAAAGAAAGAAAGAAAGGGGAGCCAGGAGCCCTGGCTGATTTCCAGGGGAAAACCCTGGCTTTGGCTAGGTGGATACAGACAGGTGTCTCCTCCATGTTATGTTGGTTGGCTTTTCCCCCAAACCTCTTTTACCTCTCTCCTTCCTCCTTTGCTGAGGTCTGCCCTCTGTTTTGGGCAACCCCTGCATTTAGCATCTGCACATCCTCACAGGCTACCAACCTCAGGGAAGCTGTCCTCCAGGAATTGTGTCTCTGCTCTGGCTTACTCCTCTGGCTCTCCCCTACATCACTTGACCTTGGGGACCTCCATCTCCGGCATCCACTTTCTCCTCAGAGTGCTGAAGTCAGCTGGCCTGTGCAGGTGCAGCTCAGATCTTGTCACCTTGAGCAGGTTGCTGGGCTCCTCTGGGCTTCAGCTTACCACTCTCCCCGGTCTTCAGCAGACCTCTCTCCGGCTCCCTCCCACTCTTGGTGGTGCCTTGGTGATAGTGCTGACTGCTCTGGCCTCCTGGCCTCCCTGTCCCAAGACTCCATCATCTATCTCTAGGCTGCAGACCCCACCTCTTCTTCCTCCTCCCCAACTCTCCACTGCTCTGGCCTACTTCTTTCTTCCCTATCCCCTTATCCTTACCTTTCCTTCCATTTCTCTTTCCAGTCTCTGGGCAGCCACCAGCCCCAGATCCTGTGCTTTCTGAGAAAATCAATGGAGCCGGAGGCCCAACAGATCCAATTTTAACCAGCCATGTTAATGATTCAAAAGGCTCTCTTCCCACTCCTCCTGCAACCTCCCTCCACTTTGCATGACTCTACTTGCTGCTACCCTTGAGCCCCAAAGAAAGAGGGCCTCCCCCAGAGAGGCAAGAGCAGGAACTACTGCAGTATCCCAGTATCCTAGCTGGCATCAGAGGCAGCTTCTCCTTGGGGCCTCTGAACTCCCCAGTCTGTGGGCTGGGGGTGGGCTCTGCAGACAGCTGCTTCCCCAGCCATGAGATCCAAGGCACTCCTGCCACCCTTCAGTGCCAGCCTTATTCCTGCTGAGGAAGAGCCTCCACTCCCAAAGCAGGCTGAGGTCAGAAAAGAACTACGCCCACAGGGCCAGCACAGTGCACCACAGTGCAGCGGGCATTCCACGTATGGTGTTGCCATCTCATAGGGGTGCCATTTGTGTCCTGGATGCTCCATTTCTGATAATTGCTCTCTGCTTATGGCCTGGGAAAGCAGCAGAGGATAGCCCAAAGCCTTGGGACCCTGCACCCACATAGGAAACCTGGAAGAGGCTCCTGGCTCCCAGCTTCAGATCAGCTCAGCTCTGGCCAGTGCAGCCATTTAGTGAATGAACCCAGTGGATGGAATACCTCTTTACCTCTTCTCTCTGTAAAATCTGTCTTTCAAATAAAAATACATAATCTTAAAAAAAAAAGACATTATTTTTGCCACCCCTCAACCACGTTCCACAACAAAATGAAAGCCCAAAGAAACAGATGCAGTTTTCTCCAGAGCAGATGTCTATCAGCCCTCTGCAGCTGGTTCCTGCCTGAGAAATTTGTCGTGGGACCCCATCCTTCAGCATGTCTAATCCCAGCCCTACCCGCTAGCTCACTGGTTGGGAAGGTGGAGGATGCTCTCTGTAAGGGAATAGATAATAGAGTGAAAGAAATGGCAAAGGGCAAAGGAGGACTGTGCACCTCTCACTTCACAGAATGAAGCCATGGGATGGCATCACCCTCATCCCCCACAGCCAATCAATGGCCAACCCTATCCCCAAGCTGCCCCCTCCTCCTGGCTCAGGAACTGGCCTCTCCCTGCTCAGACCCTAGCCCTATTACTGATCCCTTTTCCCTCCAGTGGAACCAATCAGCACACCCTCAACCCCCAGCACCACCTAGTCTGCATCCTTCCTATTGGCATTTGCAGATGTTTGAGTCTTCTTCATCAACACACACACACACACACACACACACACACACACACACACACACACACGAAGCAGCTTCCTTCATCTCACACCCGCCTCCAGCTCCCCTCATAGGCAAAGTTCCCAGCCAAGCTGTCTTCATTTTGTCACCTCCCACTCGTGCCTCAACCCATTCTGAAACTGGGTTTCGCCTCTATCCTTCCACTATCAAACAGCTCTTACTACTGTTCCTCGTGATTTCCCATCACCAAATACAAAAGATAGCTTTCCAATCAGCTCCCCTCAGAACTGGTTTCTCAGGGTCTGTCACCTCTACCTCCTTAGCAGGCTCACTTCTCCAGGCTGGGGCTTTTTGGCCTCTTCCCCCACGCCACCCTCACTCTTCCCCAGGCATCTTGTCTAGCTTCCCAGGACCCTGAAGCTGCTTGCACTAGCCTCCTCATCCCCTATCATGCTGCAGAAACACATGCTGACTCCATCCAGAGCCTGCTGACCCAGGATGTCCAAAACTGACCTTCTGTGGTCCTGCTCCTTCACTCAGTGCAAGGCGTCACCATCCATCTGTCTTACAAATCAGCAACCTCAGTAACTTCCTTACCCTCCACACACTCTCCTGGTGCCTCACCGTGTCCTTCCCTGTTCACCTGTAAAGTTCCTGAATGCACTCATTCATTGCCATCACCCCAACCTCTCGAGAAGCATCTCTACTGGCCTGCCCACCCCTTGCCTCTTCCAGTTATTTTCTACTGTAGGGATGGAAAAAAGTATACAAATGTGACCTCCTGTCCCAAAATACCAAAATACACATGTGACCATATTACCCTCCTGTGGATAGTGGCTCTGCAATACTAAGCCAGAAGCTCAAAGCTTAACCACTTCCTACAAGGCGTTTCATGGCTTAGCTCCGCCTACATAGGCAGCCTGCATTTGTCCTTGACTTTCCTGAGTCCTCTGCCCAGCTGTCCACTATGCCTGGACCATCCTGCTCTCATGTGAAGTTCTGTTGACTCATCCTTCAATCTGAGATTGAAAAGTCCTCCTCAGGGAGAAGGAGCAGGTGGTATTCTCATCTTGGTTAAAAGACAGAG